GTTAACCCCCCCCCCCATCCCCATCACATACAAATGAATTCATAAAGGATCTGTCCATCATGCTAAATGGAAAACAAATATTGTTCCTTTCTAACAGGAAAGCTACATCTGGAAGAATGCAATGGAACTACATCTAAGCTTATTTCAGAGCCAATTTTTAAAGACAGTTACTAAAGCGGTCTACAACTGATCTTGTGTCTGCAAGTCGGTTGGCATTTACATTCTCATTAGCTTCAGCCGATGTACTACCAGCTATAAAAGCACTGGTTTATCAGAGAGAGGCTGCAGACCTCCTGTAAACATCACCACAGATACGAAGGTCATTTCCCAGCAGACTCAGACAATGGGGAACCTTTCCTAAGGCTTCATTTAGCTCATCTCCCTGTACAGGAAAACTCATGACAGATGCATGATAATCCACAACACGATTCTAGAAATTTACGGCTAAAAAGTAAGCATTATCACAGCATGGGAAACCTTTTGTTAAGCACAAGGACATGACAGAAAAACCATTCCACTGTTGCAACGAATGAAAAGAGCAGATTTTTTTTTTTTAATTCATAATTGTGTGTTGCATTTATATTCCAGTAACATCATACATAGGGTTTCTTTCATTATAACATTCACAGTTCATAATGCAACAATTCCTGTAGTCTAATTCCTAACACCGTTCCCCTGTAGAACTCAAATATGTAAACGTTTGTCTGTTTTTGGAAGAGCAAAAGTGACCAGTGTTGAGCGGTATGCAGCCGTCTCATGTAGTGTCATGACAGCATTAACAAATTCTTAATAAAGCGTCACACAACTCAACCCAAACCATTTCGACTTGGGACATAACGATAGTGTTTTCCTTTGTAAACCCAATATTAGAGTGATGTTGCACTTTTAAATAGTCAAAAACATTTAAAATCTTCAGCATTCTCTCGGTTTATGGTGTGTATGTTGAAAACTGTAATACAAAAGTGTCAAAAAGCGTGAGGGTAAACAAATATGCAAATTCACAAAACCAGAGACTGTTTATGACTATGACTAGCTCTGTTAGCGTGTTGACAAATCACCTTGAACACTCATAATAAGTAGGGTTTTGTACATAACATTAGCAAATAATTCAGGCCCTAATGGACAGCGGCTGATTGTCAGTGAAGAAACGTCAAGTACACATGCCGGTGAGGGCAAAGAGAAAGACAAACTGCTACAAAAAAGCACTACGATGTGCTACAATGGCTTTTGTCAGGCAGGCGTAGAGGCAACAGGTCAGAAAGGCCTTATGTCAAAGGAAGCCCTCATGGGGTGCTCTGAGCATGACCAGAGTAAAGGGATAAAGGGATAGTTCACCCAAAAAATATATTCAAATTCTGTCCCCATTTACTCATCCTCATGTTGTTCCATAAACCATATGACCATTTTTCCTATGTTTCTTTCACTTTCAGGGAGCTTGACAGTCCCTGGTCACTAAATGCACACGCTGCATGGAAAAAGAGCAGCGTGAACATTCTTTAAATGTTCACGCTGATCACACATTTTTCAATTTTGGGTGAACTATCTCTAACCACTCCATTCTGATCACTAAACAGGCCTAATTTCTACTGTACATCGTGGCATTTTGTAACCAAAGAGCTTTATAACACAAGTCCACTATAGCAAATTCAGAAACTGTGACTGACTTTTGCCTATTTTTCTACAAGAACCTTTGAAAAGCTCAAAAACATCTGATTTCTAAAAGCAAGTGACATTACAGCTATAAAGTTCTTCTGGTTGTCATGCGCACACATACACACACACTATGGGTACTGATTGCATTTCAGCGTGTGTTTCTGTCCTCTTCGTTTTCCCGAAAAGTAGAAATCTTAAAAGTTTGCCAGTGGTTAAATAGACAATGTGATGGTGCAAAAAAAAAAATTCCATGATGGAAGGTTCAATTCAAGGCCTGTCAGACCGTGTCCACATTTTTCTCCTTTATGCTGTTTCTGGAGGGGAAATGGGAGTCCCACCGGGTTCAGTGGGAAAAATGATCCATAAAAGAGAGCGTAATTCTCTATAAAAAGTTTTTAGGCCAATGGACAGGAAGAACAAAGCAAATAAACAGCATGTTAGAGTTGGGACAGATGCCAGTGCTCAAATCCAACGTTCTGGTTGCACACAGTGTCTGTATAATGAGCGGGCGAGCGGTCAGTAGTTCTGCGGCCCTCTCTCCTCAGCAATCGGTTTTGCCCTTCTCCAGTGAGCTGTGGATCTTATCCAGAGTCTTTTTGATGCGCAGGGCAGTGAGTCGAGCCGAGGGGTTCTGGTACCAGCACTCTTTCATCAGCTTCACCAGAGCAGACAGGGTCTGTGACCACACAAAAACACACAGACGTTTGTTTTCAGATCATAGTGAGGATCTCCTGTCGACTACAAACGTTAACATTTATATATGGAAAATAAGACATTTAATTCCTTTTTTTTAGCATAAAGACAGTCTGCTATAGAGTGCTGCAGGGATGATGTATTTTCACAAGCCAATCTGGAAATTAGCATCACCCTGGTTCCCTCAACAAAATTTTTTTTTTAAGGATTTTTCCACTGGTTTTTGTATTACTGCAGAGAATAAACTCTGTGACCAACAAAAGTGTATTATTTTGACACGTTTTGAAGCCTAAATACAATCACCAGAAGTAAAAAGCTAAAATTAGATGACTTCAACATCACCACCAGCCTTCGATAACTCTTTCAGTATTTACTTAAATTCTAACAGTTAACGTTTTATTTAGCATGGTTTGCAAGATTGCGATTATAAACCCAATGAGGCTCTGAAAGCTGACTAGTGAGTAAATTAGTTTTCCTATTTGGTGTGATAACATTTAATGTTCCTGATGACCTCTGTAGTCTCATTTAGCCACTTATTAGCAAATTTTTTTTTTTTTTTTCAAACCAAGATTGTGTAAAAGCTTAGCAAATGGGGTGGGCAATACTGATGTACTTTATGTCGTAAGAACAAAACATGAAAATATCTTGAACTTGTGTTCATCATAAAACCTAATTTCAGGCATTTACACGCATTGATTTTGGGACAACAGAAGTGGAATTGTAAAAATGCGAACTCATTTCTGGGTTTTAGGACTCGTTCCTGCAGTACTGTATATGTGTAGACTATTAACATGTCCACTGCAAGGTAAATATGTTTACAGGGATACAGAGAGTGTCTCATCATTACTTACAGGATCTGAAAACCAGCGGTTGGGAATGAATGGCCTTTGTTGCTCCACACAAACCACTTTCCTCATGTCGTCAAAGCTGGGGTCATTAGGCACCAGGTCGTAGAAAGGCGGCTTGTATTCCTCTACAATTCCTACAGGATCACAGTGTTTAAAAAAAAATTAAGAGTCATTAAACATTTAATTGGAGAACATTCTGATCTCTATTGTCCTTAAAATGCTGACAAAATAAATAAAATTCTGTGCAAACATAATTAAAGATTTCTGAATAGATTCCAGGTAGCTGACCGTTACTGATGGTCCTGCGAGCGATCTCCCACAGCACCAACCCAAAGGCCCAGATGTCCACCCTCTTATAGGCATCGAAACAGTCTGTCTGAATGGTCTCATCCAGAACCTCCGGTGCCATGTAGCGCTTAGTTCCCACTTTAGGATTATTTCCCACATCCAGCTGATTGTCAGACTGCGTGTGTGTTACTGCCAGACCTACAAAGAGACACAAGCAGATGAAGAGTAGAAGTGGAAAATCACCAGACTGTCTATATGTAAAACTATTTTTCATTAGACACTACAAAAATTTGGGGTCAGTAAAAAAAAATTTTTTAAAGAAATTTATATATTTATTCAATATTCATTATGTGCACAGGGTCACTTATGATTAAAAAAAAAAAAAATGGGCATGCAAGAAATTACCCAGGTCAGCGATGCAGCACTGCAGATCTTTCTTCACCAGGATGTTCTTGCTCTTCAGGTCTCTGTGAGCGATGGCCGGTTTGCCCTCAGTGCCAAAGATCTCCGTGTGCAGGTGCACCAGTCCGCTGGCTACTGACGCCGCCATGTGCAGTCCATCTGCCATATCCACGGCAACACGCTGCAGGTAGTCGTAGAGAGAGCCGTTTTCGTGGTAGTGTGTGATGAGCCACAGCTGAGTGCTAGAGTTTCGGGAGGTCATATCAGAAGCCATGAATCCTGCAAAGAAAAGAGTTTAAAATAACATCACCCACATTGTATTGAGCTATTTTTTTGTTCTAGCATTTATTTTATTTAAAGAAAAGATGCTATTATCTGAGATAACAAAGATATCCGACTCACCTAATATATTTTCATGTCGTAGTAGAACAGTGTTGTATATTTCTGTCTCTCTAAACCATGACTTCTCATCTCTGGAGGAGAAGATCTTCACGGCTACATTCTCTCCTTGCCACTGACCTCTCCACACTTCCCCATACCGTCCCTTACCTGAGAACACAGGACACAGAGAAATTATATCACATACATCACTGTTTGTAATTTATTGCACGTTACTAGACAGAGATTAATTAATTGTGTAATGTGTTGTAAAAGCTGCAAAACACAGTCACAGATTTTGTAGTCTTATATGTACTAAGGTTATTCTACGATTTGTCTTACCAACACACTCTACCAGGCTGATCTGCCGTGCAACCGTCCTCTGCACCAGGAATGGCAGTCCTGAACCACTGCCTGATGTGCAGGAGTGATCCATCAGATCCTAGAAAACAACACAAGACTGATGAGGCATTATCTAACGTTTAAAGACTGAAAACAGAATAACTTCAGCTAAGCTACTGCAACATTCAAAAGTGTGGGGCGAGTAAGATTTTTTGTTTTTTTAAAGAAATAATACTTTTATTCAGCAATGAAGCATTCAATTGTTAAAAAGTGACAGTAAATAAGTTTACACTGTTAAAAATCTAATAAAAGCTGTTTTTAATGTTCTATTCAAAGAATCATGAAAAAAAATGATTATGGAAACAGTGATACTACGTAGCACAGCTGTTTTAACATTGATAATAAGAAATGTTTCTCGAGCACCAAATCAGCATTTTAGAATGATTTCTGAAAGATCATGTGACACTGAAGACTGGAGTAGTGATGCTGGAAATTCAGCTTTGCCGTCACTTTTTAAAACATATTCAAATAGACTTTTTGTAATTGTAATAGTATTTCATAATATTACTATTTTTAAAGTAGCAGGCTTGGTGAGCACTTATGAGTAGTGGTCGATATTTGGCATTTTTCAAATATCGGTATCGTTCGAGGCGGGACTTTTATTTTGACGGCGCTGAGAACGGCAGCACCTGAGCACACACCGCTCACATTTTCCCTCTTGTTCGCTGTCATCGTTACAGTTCTGTCTAAATACGGATAGAAGTCTATCTAATAATCAGAATATGATTCCCAATGCACACAAACTTCCCAGAATACTGAGTGCCCTGTTGGTTACAGTGTTTACTTCCTTTTTAATTAGATTTTTATTAAATATTTATTTATTTGTGAAAAATGCTTTGTCTTCTAAAGTATAAGTATGTTTATTTTACACAATTATTTAAAATCCATTTTCAAATGATTTCAAATTTCTTAAATTAAATTAAAATAAAAAAAATTATATCGGCTTTATATCGACCACCCTGCTTTCCAAGATATCGGCATCGACAGTCAAAAAACCAATATCGGTCGACCACTACTTATGAGAATTCTTCTGAAAAAAAAATTACAAAATCACCTGATATTTGCAAAATATTAAGAAAGTTTTAGTAAACTATAGAAATGAAATACCGCAAGTGTGCTGTCTCCGACATTAGATGCAATGAGCCCGTCAATGGCCCCCTGCTCAGTGTCAAACTCATGCAGTCTTTCCAGACGCCCATGATGGAGTCTACGGCACACCAGCAAAGCCAGCACAGATAGCAATCCCAGAACCACAAACGGCCCCAACACAAAGAGAACCAGCATCTCCACACGGTAATGCACAGCTGCCTCTCCTTCTGGACCATTTCAGAGACACAAATACCGTCAAATATATTCACTTTTTTTTTTTTTTTTGGGAAAGCAAAACTATTTATTGCAAAAAATATATTTTATAAAAAATGTTTTAATTGGTTTTGCTAGAATGTATTCAACTATTAAATAATAAAAGTATAAATAAATAATAGAACAAAATAATAATTGGGCTCTGAGATGGCCCAATGATTTTGGATGACAATTTTTGGAATACAAAACTGTTTAATGAAAAAAAAAAATTTTTTTTTTTTTTAAATTAATGAAACTATATACATTTAAAAAATGTTGCTAAAATGTCTTAAATTATAAAACAACACCTTTAACAACTTGAATTTTTAAAGAATTTATTGACTTACCTGTCAGCAGTAGTCGAAGAAGGGTCTCTTTCGAGACGTTGGCGTTGCACATGTGTTGGGAGCAGCATTCTACGACATGACTAGCAGAGGGTGTTGCGGAGCAGGTCATGCGCTTGCTCTCCGACCCGACAAGACAGCCACGTTTGAACGTTGTCACATCGTTGCTAATGATAACAGAGGTGTAACACTGGTCTCCAGTGCACTGCTGCTCATTACAGTCACTGCCGACACACATGCAGTCAATGGAGACATCTGGAGAGAGACAGAAAACAGAAAGTCAGGGAGTTAAATCATAAATTAAGGAAAAGGGGACCCAGTCTGTATCCATTTGTCAGTTGTCACCAGCTGCAAAAACTCTGGGAACAATGAAATTAATTAAGGAAGAGCAGCATGACGCCAGACCTCACAGACGAGACTCTCTCCGCCTGATAACTGAGACTGTTTTCTTCCCTTCTCCCTGCCTTCATTTCCTGTGACACTGAACTATGTCAACTTTACAAATTGACTTCAGAGAATAAAGGCCAGAGAGCATCAATGACACAGATCAATTAACCCAGCATTCATGTTTTATGCCCTCCGTGAGACACACTAACAGAGCCTGAGGAGAGAGGACACGGACACCTAATGAAAGTACAACTACGATTAGGTACACCAATCCTACTGCGTTGTGGCTAGATGTTTAAACTATGACTTATTGGTTAATGCCACTATAGTCTCAGGCATGCTATTTCCAGATGCCAAAGTCAAACATATATTATCAGTTCACCCTTAAAGGGATAGTACATCCAAAAATGTGTCTTATGCTCATCAAGGCTGCATTTATTTGATAAAATATACAGTAAAACCAGTAATATTTGAAATATTCTTAAAATTTAGCAATTGTAGAATTTATTTTAATATATTTTAAAATGTAATTTATTCTTGTGATGGCAAAGCTGAATGTTCAGTAGTCATTACTGATTTGATTCTCAAGAAATATTTAATATTATTACAATTGAAAAAAAGGCTCTTTAATTAATGGAAAGTTCAAAAGATTGTTTACTGTTACTTGTAATCAATTTAATTTATGCGGAGGTATTAATTTCTTTAAAAAGAAATGATCCCTTAAGGATTACCCACATCACATATAAAATAAATTAATAAAAATAAATAATAATTATTATTATTCATGATGATAATAATAATAATAAAACTATACAACAACGTATTAAGAAAAAATTAAGGGAAAAAAAATATCAGAATAAGGATTTATGTTTGCCAGCTCTTTACCTTTAGCTGATGTCCATAAGAATTGAAGCAGGAATAGGACGATGATTCGGGTACTGCAATGCCCCATTTGGTTCACTGCACTGAAAGGAAAACGAGGTGTTACAAATGCACATTTAAACCAAGAAACACAACAAATCACCTGCTTAGTTTAAAAGTTCTACAGAACAGTGGGCCAGAATCAATTGCCAATAAGAGAACAGAACCGCAAAGATGACGAATTAAATTTTTTTTGAGAATGCAGCTGTGCTCTGCCTCTCTCGCGCCACAAATAGTCAGACAAGGGGCCGTCTCCATGGCAACCAAGGAGAGAGAGATGCCCATTATGGAGCGACATCAAAGACAGTGAAGGAGCACTTTAGGAGAGACAGAAAGGAACAAGCATTTTGGGTGTGCAGGACTCACCATTACGTTGTAATATTCAAGGACACAGTTCACAAGGACATCATGACTAATTATAGACCATGAGTCCTCGAAAACTGACTTTTAAATGGTGTAGGGTCATTTTATTCAATGCCTCTTAAATCCTGACAACTAAAAAAAATTCAATTTCAAAATGACCAAAATGTAATTTTACACAAGAGCGACAAGGACAGTCTTTTACTTGTACAACTTCTCAGGTGACTCTCAGCACTCCCTTTCAGTATGCGCACAGCCAGACTCTGTCTTCCCATTGGATCCTAAAAAAGAAGATGGAAACCAAAGCAGCATGTTAAACTTTTTCCACAGCAGTGCCTTTCTCATGGTCATTTCTTCAGGAAGGAGTGAGTGACAGGATAAGAGGGGTGCCTGGAAGTCTCTGCACACTGATAGTCAGAGAGCTGGAACTGACTTATGGCTTGATTCCCTTTGGCTGCTCACCATATTAACATTAACCATATTAACGAAAGTTTTTTTCGAAATGCAAAGGATCCTAAAAATACTACTATTTTGCATTTTTGTGAATTATTATTTTATTTTCATTCAAAATTGTATCATTAGTATTTCAATTTGAGTGAAAATTCAGAAAAGTTATTTTATTATTATACAAATAATGAATATGAATTTCAGAACTTATTTTGCTTTACAGACAGCAGCAAATTGTGCTTCGATGGTTATGAGAGAACTTTAAATGATTCTGAAATATCCACTTAGTAACACTTCCAAAAGTGTTTACATTGTCTCAATTGGATTCTCATATTTTGCAATCTGGATCTTATTACATATAGTGTTCATATATTTTTTACACACAAGTTACAATTTTCTAGCGAGCAAAATAGTCTAGAATTGCATAATTGCAAAAATAAATAAATAAAAATGTATATATATATTATTCCATGATTTTTTTTCAGACCTGGAAGTCAGTTTTAGCACTGACTGATATTTCCAGCTTTTTAGTGACCATGGGAACCTTTCAGTGAAGATCAGAGAGTCTATATTGTTATGATCTAAGAGTCTTACAAGCAACAAAACAATCAAAATGACTGACGTGCAATGAGTTACACACAGAGCTGTTAATAGAAACTTGTTTTAAAATACTACAGAGGATCTGCTTTAACAGATACAAGTGCCTACAATATAATCAGATGGCATACAGCAACGATCCAAGCACAGGCAACACAAAAATATAAAATAACACGCAAAAATCTAAGCTGTCGACATATCATAATAATGTCTGCATTATAACTTTGTCTAATAATCGGCCTGTTTGCAGCAGCTGTGCTAACTGTGCTAACAACGACCATTATTTACTCGCCGCATTTATTTCCAACAAATCAAAGTGCCATTAAATATCGCTTTTACCTTTAGCTGCGATGTAGATTCATGTTTGTGTTAATGTTCCGTGTTTTCACTGTTTTATTCGAAGTCGTGTTTGAGACGCTGACAGACTGTCTGCCGCCACCCAGAGAGACTGAAAAGACTGCGCCGTGACGTCACCATAAACAAGTTACGCGCGAGAGCATTGTGGGATACCGCAGTCCGCCGAATGTGAGCGCCTGAATCCATAAAATAACTTTGATTATTTTGTAACGACACATTTCTGTCTCAGACAACGTTTAAACAAAACATTTGGCTCAACCTCATGAAGCAAGGGATTTTGTTTGTCTACAAACAATTGTACAGAGTTTAGTGATCACTGATGGAGTGCTTCATTTCCTCGTTAATAAATAAGAAAAAAATGGTCGAATTTACTGTGAGCTATAGTGGTGAATGCAATCTATTATATTAAAATATTAAGGAATTAATATTAATAATTTTTAAGTGATAAAAACAGGAGATGGTATTAAAGGAAAAGTTCACCCCAAAATGAAAATTTGCAGAAAATTTACTAGCCCCCAGGATTCCAAGATGTAGATGAATTTGTTTCTTAATCGGAACAGCGTTATTACATATTATGGACTTTATTTTGACCAGAAGGAACGGTTTAAAGTTTAAACACCTTAATGATGGATTTGTTTTTTTTACAAACACACAGCTTTTACTTGACAAGACGTTAATTGATGGACTGGAAATTTGTGGATTACTTGTGGATTATTGTGATGTTTGTATCTGCTGCATGGACTCTCATTCTGACGGCACCCATTTACTGCAGAGGATCCATTGGTGAGCAAATGATGTGATACTAAATTTCTCCAAATCTGTTCCGATGAGGAAATGCATTTACATCTTGGATGGCCTGAGGGTGTATGAATAAAAAAGCGAATTTTAATTTTCTGGTGAACTATTCCTTTAAGGCAAATCTCAGAGATCCATATTATAGCAAAATACAGATGCTGATCAGTACAAATCTGCTACACACAACTGACTGCATCAACCTTGAGAAAATTATATAAAACCTGGTCTTACAACACCTCCAAATTTACAATTGTATGTAATGTTCATCAGTTCAATGAACTGTATCAATTTACCTGAAAGTGTTTGATCATTTATATTACTATTTACAAACTGTTAGAGAGACACACACATAGCTGCTTAAAGAAAGCAAAATGTCCTTGCCATGATAGGAGTCAAGGAGCCAGTGGCCTGACAGTTTTTTTGTTCTAAAATAGCTTGTTGATTAATGGACATGTCATTTTCTATATGGGGAAAAAAGGATAGGGAGTCAGGGGCACTGAAGGGCGGGGAGATAAGGCGTCTGACGTCCCTCAAGTGACTAGCCGCAATTCCTTTCCACTCAATATCATAGATTTTTCATGTATAATCAAAGCATTGCAATTTTTGGGGCATTTATGGCACTGAGGTCAATGTTGTGTGGAACACAATTGCACCTCTGGGGGAAATGCACTCTTGCTTTTTTCCGTTGCTAGCAACAACATGAAAAACATGTTACTCAGCAAAGAGTCTGATTTACTGATAAAATATCGAACCAGTTGCCATTTTTTAAGCCACTGACATCAGTCTTTTTACTGTGTTGAAAATAGAACAATTTGTCTAAGAATTTGCAAAAAGTTTTCTTTGTATTTATTTTTTTTGTTTTATTAATCAATATTTTTTCTTACATTTATTAACAAGGATTTTGTATTGTTTTGGCTACATGTGTACATCAAAGTATGTGTACCTTTATAGGTTTGTTTTTGGCTCTGAAATTCTGTCCTCTATCTCATAGATGACTCGTGTCTCCTTTAATAAAGCATTGATTATGGGGAAGGTGACATGAGAATTAGGATGCAGAGTAGGTATCAAGTTGCCTATATGCTTCCTTAATTGCATAGTGGCACAAAAGAATCCCCTGTTGCCCCTCCATCCATATCTCCAATCAAACTTGGCTTGTTTTGGACCTTTGGTTTAATCTTGAGGGGCTTTTGAAGCTGTCCACAAAAAGCTATTGTATCTTACTTAATTATAACCTCAGAAATGATCTGACCTGTCCGGTGCCAGGTGCAGTGAAGTGTGCAAAAGCTTGCATGCCATGAGGTCCCATTGGATAAGGAAAAGAAACACTAGATGCCCATCGTGATCGGATAAGTGGAAAATAACCTAACAATGTTAGATCTGAGAAAAAAAAAAAAGGCAGAGAAACTTCGGTAAAGACCTAATGGAAAGTTTTTCCCTCCCCTCTTGGTTTCTGAGACTTCTGGGTACCCTAAAAAGGTAGCAATATGAGCCCCAAGCCTTTTTTTCTGTTTTTTTTACTTTTTTCTTTTTTACTTTACTTCCCATACCACCTCTGTGAGTCTGAGCCCATTTGGAAGGATACCGTTTAAAGTCAGCATGGATCATCCAGGAGGACACCTTGCTGTGGTTCTGTTCCTACTTGTTCTGGTTTCTTTGTCCACCGAAAACAACATTAGTAAGTATATTATATTCACAATTTAATTTAATTTAATTTGATTTGATTTGATTTGATTTGAAGATCCAGCATATATTGGGAACTCATTCAGTACTGGTTGCATTGCAATTGCCTCAATAAGTTGATTGGAAGTGACTTCTTTGAAGAATCTAAAATATAAAGTAGTTTGATTTGTGTAAATATTTTTAGTCATCACTTTCCCACACTTTTTTGGTTAACTTTACTATTATTCTAAAATGAAAACAATCAGGTGAGAGCAAGCTTTTTTGACTGCCATTCTAGTGCAGTTAAAAAAAAATACTTATCCTGAAATATATTTGATGTTTGTCACTATTTGAAAAAGTACACATTTTGAATTAAAATCAAATGAAAGTTGATTTGCTTTGCAGTCAGGTGGTGCACAGTGTCTGATGCTGAAGAGCAAAAGTGTTTGGATCTAGCTGGGAACGCCACAGCCAGGAACATCCGCGGACAACTCCTTTGTGTGAGGGGCCAAAGTCCCAGTGACTGCATGAAGCAAATTAAGGTTGTAGGAATTTGCTTCCCAAGAAGCAAATCAAATCAGATATGGTGCTTGAAAATGATTGCAATATTACAAGTCTCATATATTTGAGATTGAACCTTAAAATTGTGCAAAGGTTTGCTCCTCCTTTTTGCTTTTCTTGCACTCCTTCAACTTCTCAACTGATTATTCAGTCTTACAAAATGTTTGATGTTTTGCTTTTCCATTATATCAAAAATGATGGAAATTTCTCAGTATATGGTTTAGTATAATTTGTCTGTGATGTAAACAGAATGGCACTGCAGATGCCTCTACTATGTATGCTGATGAGATCTACACAGCTGGGTTTTGCTATGGCTTAGATGTGGCTGTGGGAGAGTCTTATAATGGTGTGGGTGAGTATGTTTAAACTATTAAAAGCATTAAAGCACCAGTCAGAGATCTGATAAAATATTTTAGTCAAAGAGCTTGACGTCAATGCATGTTCACGTGACTTTACCGATGTTTTGTGTCTGACACAGATGGCATCAATTATTACGTGGTTGCACTGGCACGGACATCATCCAGTGATCTGTCACTACTGGAGATGCACGAACGCAGCTCCTGTCACCCAGGGATGCGGACTACAGTGGGCTGGACCGTCCCCATCGGCTTCCTGATCAACACATCGCAGATCAGCGTGGATGAGCAGTGCAACTTTCCCCATGGTGAGATGTTGCCATGCTGTATTTCACCGCATGTATAATAGTTACTGATATTATTTGATAGATTACAAAGCTCTTAACATCTGGTTTAATTATCGGTGACATACATACAAAATAATGGTTTCATTTTTTTTATATAAGTGGTTAAAAATGGTTCAGATGCAAATTGAGGATGTAATTGCACCCATTGGCAGCAATTTAAAAAGCTATATCCGTCTCCCTATGGTTTCCAGCGGTAGGAGATTTCTTTGGGTACAGCTGTGTCCCAGGAGTGAAGGACCTAGAACATGATCCCAAAGGAAATAACCCAAGGAACCTGTGTGAGGCCTGCATTGGGGACGAGAACGAGCTGTGTCCCAGGAGTGAAGGACCTAGAACATGATCCCAAAGGAAATAACCCAAGGAACTTGTGTGAGGCCTGCATTGGGGACGAGAACGACCACCACATCTGCGCCAACAACCCTCGGGAACGGCACTTCGGGGAGGCTGGAGCTCTTAGGTGCTGTATGATCAGAGATGTGAGAGAATGCATATGTTCTAGTGGAACCATTATTCAAAATATGAATATGCTTTGTGTAGCGAGAATATTGGATTGCATAATGGGTTTGGGACAAAAAACAATTCTCTATATACTGTATGTCTAATATTACATTACCATTTAAAAGTTTTGGGTGAGTATGATTTATTGAAAAGTTTTTGAGAGAACATTTACCTAGGCTCCATTAATTTAATCAAAAACAGTAATATTGTGAAATTTGATTACAGTTTAAAATAACTGTTTTCTATTTCAATATATTTTACATTTTCCCTTTTTGTCTGTAATGGAAAAGCTCATTTTTCAGCAGCCATTACTCCAGTTACAAGATGCTTAAGAAATCATCCTAATATGCTGATTTAGGGCTTAACAAACTTTTTGTCTTATTATTATTAGTTGAAAATGGTTAATTAGGAATGGAAAGTGTATTTGGAATTGTTGTTTTTCCAGTATAATTTATGAACAGAAAGTTTGAAGAACAGCATTTGTTTGAAAAAAAAATCTTTGGTAACATTATAAATTTTTTTACTGTCACTTTTGATTCATTTAATGCGTCCTTGTGCAATAAAAGTATACATTTCTTTAAAAAGCTACTAATTCCAAACTTTTAAATGGTAGTGTATATATTTTATATCTATTATAATATATTATTATTTAAAACATGCAGGTGTGTGGCCGAGAATCTCGGGGATGTTGCTTTTGTTAAGCACACTACAGTCTTCGACAACATGCAGGGTAAGTAATGCAGGGTGTAAGAAGAGCTAGTTAAACAGGAGGGCAAAAATGCCCAGATGCATTAAGAATATCAAGTTGGTTTCTTATTAAATGGAATTTTTTAAGGGACTGAAGGAGGACAACTGTAGCCTTCACTTCATGATCTGTATCATGTTTCACTGGCTGACAGACACAGGGGGGCAG